CTATCATGAGTGCTCTTCAGGAGAGCTAATGTTGCTAAGGGTGAGAAACAAACAATGACTGGGACAATTGAAGAGGTAGAAAAACTGTTGTTGGTTTGGATAAATAAAAAGCAGTTAGCCGCTGAAATCGGTTTTGCTTAGTGGATAGAGCATCGGCCTGCGGACTGAAGGGTCCCAGGTTCAATTCCGGTCAAGGGCATGTACCTTGGTTGCAGGCACATCCCCAATAGGAGGTGTGCAGGAGGCAGCTGATTGATGTTTCTAACTCTCTATTCCTCTCTCTTCTTCTCTGTAAAAAAAACTCAATAAAATATATTTTTTTAAAAAGCAGTTAGCCTGTGACAGCCTTTCATATGGGAAAAAGCAAAGATGCTACATACTGATCTGGAAGATACCCCTGGAACCAGTGCTGAAGTGAGTCCTTTAAGGGGTGGTTTGATAAATTTAAGAAGGTTTATGTATAAGTTAAACAGCCCATTAGACATGTATTGTATATAAGAAAGGTTAAACCAGGGAATCATTTGGGGTTCTAGAATGGATTCATTCCATTTACGTCATTTCTAATGGGAAAAAAGTTATTTGGTTTTCAAACTAATCATTTCTCAAACAGCCTTCTAGAATGAATTACGTTTGAGAACTGAGGTTCCACTGTACCAAAGAACAGAGAGCTGTGCTATATGCCGAAGACTGCAGAGGAGAAGCCAACATTTCGGGTCAAGTGTGAATCTTGAGCTATTATCCTTTTAGCAAACACAAGCATCCTCAGCACTTCGTACATACATCCCTCAACTCTTAGCCCCAACTTACTTGTCTAGTCTTCCTTCCTACTCTCTCCTCTCTGCTTCAGTCAGACTAGTGCCATGCCTGGAACCCTGCAGGTAATTAATACCTGTTGAAAGAGAAAGGAAGGAAGGGAAAAGAATAAAGAAAGGAGGAGAAAGGAGGAAGACAGGAAGCGAGGGAGGGAGGAAGCAAGGGAAAAAGGGCAACTAAAACTCTTAAGTTCTCCCTGAAAGGTTAAAGTTGGTGGGTAAATAGCCATCTCAAATGGTGATTAAAGAAAATTGAATTTCGTTAAGAAAAAGGGGATGGGCCGAAACTGGTTTGGCTCAATGGATAGAGAGTCGGCCTGGGGACTGAAAGATCCCGGGTTCGATTCCTGTCAAGGGCATGTACCTTGGTTGCAGGCATATCCCCAGTAGGGGGTGTGCAGGAGGCAGCTGATCGATGACTCTCTCTCATTGATGTTTCTAACTCTCTATCTCTCTCCCTTCCTCTCTGTACAAAATCAATAAAATATATTTTAAAAAAAAAAAAGAAAGAAAAGAAAAAGGGGATGGGAGGTGGGACTATCCAAATGAAGGGCTACACACAGAAAGTGGGGCCTTGGAGACAGGTTCCCAGGGTAAGCCCCCGATGAGCTGACACTGCCCACTGCTCCCCTGGTTGCAAGTCTCATGGGTCCGTTAGAGATTGTGGAATACATGACGGTAGGAGAATGGCACCAGTGTGCTCCTTGGAGACAGATCTCCAATTGATCCTATGTCCTGAGCTTATCTCTCTCTGCAAGGTGGAAATCTCAGGGGAGGTCTCAGAGGAGGGTCTTAATAGATCATTCATTAGCTTTCCAGGTGTGATCTTTCAGGGTCATGGACTCCACTGATTGGTCGGAGCTAGGGCAGTGGTCCATTCGTCAATGTAGCTCTTGGCACTACTTGTCTGGTTTTGCTGCTTTTGGGGCCTGGACCTGAAATACAACTGAGGCCTCGACTTCTTATTTAGAGAGGAAAAGGTCAGGGAAGCTAAATCACCTGACCAGCAATATAAAAGATCAGGGGTCCAAACTGCGTGACCAGTGTGATATGCTAGGGGAGGAGAGGTTACCCTGGAGGCAAGATTCTTATTTTTCCAGTTTTGCCCCTTGCTTAGGCATCTGGGGCTTTCTTCCTTATAAGTTTCTGTACCCGCCCATGTCCTTGCTCTAGGGGGATCTAACACTCCCTTCTATGGAATCCTACTCTAAAGAAAGGATCTGATAAGCTCATATCTAAATGTCATCGGCAGGACCACAAGACGCTTCTAACTAATCTAGAGTGGTGGTTTTCCATCATGGCTGCACATGAGATCATTTAGAGAGATTTTGAAAAACCCTAATGCCACCCCAATAATCTAATTCAATTGAACTGGAGAGAGGCCCAAGGCATGGTGCTTTTGTCCTAACGTGCAGACAGGGTTGACCGTTTCTGACACAGTCCAACCCCTCAGAGGTCCAGAGAGCTGGTAGTATCTCTGAGCCAATCTAGCTGGCCTTCAGTAGCTCTTTATCTCATTGAAGTTCTTTCTTCTCTCTTAAGTCTCTCATTCATATATTTCTTTAACGAACAGTTACTAAGCAGTTACCTACCCTGTGCCAGGTGCCAGGTATGTGACAGTGAGCAATACAGCCCATTTCCTCTTCCTCGGCCTCAGCAGGAAGGGCCGTATACCTGAAGGCCTTTCTCAATTTGGATCATTCTATCTCCATTTATTTCTGAGCTTCTTGGGACGAGGGGCCACGAGTAATTCATCTTTGGAGCTGCAGGCCTGGTACAGGGGCAGATTTAATAAAAATATGAGGAATAAACAAATGGATACAAGTGGTTCCTGAATCCCCTCCCATGGAATAAAGAAAAGAGGAAAATGTCACCCAGCCAGGGTAGCTCAGTTGGTTGCACCTAAAGGTTGCTGGTTCAATTCTCAGTCAGGGCACACACCTGGACTGTGGGTTTGATCCTATAGAAGACAACTGATTAATGCCCCCCCCCCCCCTTCTCTCTTTCTCCCTTCCTCTCTCTAAGCATATCTTTGGCTGGATTAAAAAAGAAAATGACAAAGATCATCTCAAGTTTAAACACACACACACACACACACACACACACACACACAAAAACAAAACAAACAAACAAAAAAAAACATGGTGTGGTTCAGTAGTTGAGTATTGACCTATGAACCAGGAGGTTATGGTTCGATTCCCAGTCAGGGCACATGCCCAGGTTTCAGGCTGGATCCCCAGTGTTGGGCGTGCAAGAGGCAGCCAACCAATGATTCTCATCATTGATGTGTCTATCTCTCCCTCTCCTTTCCTCTCTGAAATCAATAAAAATGTATTTTAAAAAACAACAACAGAGAAATGACAGAAAGATCACCTATATTAATCAGGACTTTCTCAATTTTATGTCATAGAAATACAACTTAAATTTCCTGAGACAAAAGAGGGTACTTATTTGATCATAACTGGGAAAGGCAAGTGTAGAATCCCAGACACACAATGTCATTGGGGCTCCACCAGTTCCCAGCTGTTTGTGTCATCTCAGCTTCTTTCTTAATTTAGGGCATCTCCATATGACAGTCAGATGGCTCCTCATATCCTCTGATTTTAGAAGTCCCAACAATAGCCTCATGAGATTTCCAGGGAAGACCAGCCCATCTTTGAACAAACACTTTGGGCTGGTGAAGAGTGTACTCTGATTGGTCAAACTGCCTCACAATCCACCCTGTGGCTGTCAGCAGGGTACCACTGCTGTCAGCCTCATTTCGAATTCACAGAATTGGCAAAGAATTCCCCTTAGGAATCAGAAGAAGGAGCTAGGAAAGTGTGCTGGACTTCCATGCTCTTCCATCTTTCCACCTTTCTGTTCCACCACCTTATTTGGCATGATGGCGTCTGTCCTCATCCATGCAAATGCATGGATGCAAGATAGGTACCACAATCTAAACACTATCATTGTCTTCAAGGCAGGAAGAAAGGGGGGAGCAGACCTACCCTTATCCATCACCATTTTCAGGAAAAGAAAAACCTACCTAGAAACACCCTGAGGAGGCTTCCCTGAAACATCATTGAACCGCATTAGATCACACTGCTGCCGCGGCTGTAAGGCAGGCTAGAAAACCTAGTTTTTAACAAACTGGAATAGAATTTCTTGACTAGCTGGGACCAACCCTAATTCCTCTCCCACTCTGTCTCCTTCCCTCTCCACTAGGATTAAGTTCTCTTGCTCTGAGTCCCCTTAGCATTCTGGTCTCTTTTATCAAAGTGACATATGCACTGTACAGCAGCAGCTCCCTTTTCCAGCCACACCCTTTGCTAGGATTTCTAAAAAGGTGTCCATACCGTATCTTGTGGTTTTGTTTTGTTTTTTGTTTTGTTTTAATCCTCACACAAGGATGTTTTTCCATTGTTTTGTAGAAGGAGTAGGAGAGGGAAAGACAGAGAGAAACATCAATGTGAGAGCAACACATCCATTGGTTGCCTCCTGCTCAAGCCCTGACCAGGCCCCGCCAGAGAGGAGCCTGCAACAGAGATACGTGCCCTTGACCGGAATTGAACCCAGAACCCTTCGGTCAGCAGGCCAACGCTCTATCCACTGAACTAAATTGGCTACAGGCCATTCCTATCTTGCTCATATTTGTATCCCCAACACTATGCCAGCATAGTGCTTCATTCCACCAGCATTCTCCATCTACTATGTGTCAGGCCCTGAGCAAATAAGGAAAAAGACTCTCGGTGAACTCTTCTTGAATGAATGAATGAATGAATGAATGATGGGAGGTAGATAAATGGATGATGGGTGGGTGAGCAGGTGAAGTTTGAGTGGTAGATGGTGGATGAATGATGGATGGATAAATGGGTGGATGGTGGATATAAATGGGTTTGGATGAGTATCATCACTGCCCAAAGGCTCCACCCAGAGCAGCCAGCCTGTGGGCTCCCTTGCTCCCATTCTCTCACTCCTCTGCCCTCAGGTGGTCATTTCGGTTTCCTAAAAGCCTTCTCCTTTCCCGCGGAGCCATTATATGCTCCCTCTTGGTGCCCAGGCAACAGCTAGTCCTTTCCCTTCTTCCCACCGCCCCGCATCCAGCTGAATCTTGAATCGATACCAGTTCACTGGGTGTGAACGGAAGGAGACTGCTCCTTGTGCGCCAGTATTTACTTCTAAGTGTGTGCATATTTTCTCTCTCCCTCCCTTCTTCCCTCCCCCTCCCTCCCCTCCCATTCTCTCTCCGTCCCTCTCCCTGTCCTCTCTCTTTCCAAATCCTAGGGAACAGGTTCAACCAGAGCACAACCAGCTAGCTCACCGGCGTCTGGCCCCGGGACTGGCAGGCGCAGGAGGCGCGGAGGGAGGCGGCCGGGCGGGCAGGGGCGGCGGCGCTCAGCCGGCCGCGCGGCGAAGCCCGGCCCGGGCTCGCCCATGAGGCCCCTACGGAGCCGGAGCAGGAAGCACCGCGGCATCTCCCTGGGACTCCTCGCCCTCCGCCTGGCCGCAGCCTGCTGTCTGCAGAGTAAGCTCGGGGCGAGGGAGGGAGGGTTGGGTGTCTGGGCTGCCCGGCCGCCGGCCCTCTGCACCCCAGCAGGCCCTTTCCTTTTCCTGGGGGCTGGGGCGCGGCCTGGGGCTGGCGCCCACCGGGGCCGGAGGAACCCGGGCAGCGCGGAGTCCCCCGGGCAGCCCCTGGGACAATGCTGGGGAGTTATAGCCGCGTTATCGGAGCCGGAAGCCGTCCGGCTTCATTTCTTTTTCCTGGAATAACCAGCCCGCCCCCTGCGCTGCCACCGGAGACCTCAAGGGCGCACGGGCCCCGCCCCTGCTGCTGGGACTCCTCCTCCCCACCCCCACCCCCACCCCCCTCGTGCAAAGGGGTGCAAAGGGGTGCTGGGGGCTCGGGTTGGGTGCTGGGCTTGAATGCAGGTGGTCTAGCCTTTCAGCAGCGAGCGGAGTGTGGGCACTGGACGACTCGTTCCCCCCCTCCCCCTCCTGATGAATCTGATTGAAGGCAACGCACAACCCCACCAACTCGCCCAGGCACAAACAACATAATGAAAAGGCAGCCTGACTCTCTGGTTTAATCATTAGCGTAATTATCGTTTCCATTTTACAGATTAGTCAGCTGAGGTGTAAAGAGTGACCCGGGCAGGGCCACTGGAGCGCGGGAGAAGCAGGAAGGTAGAGCCAGCACTTGTGAAGCCCCGAGGCATTCGCCATCCCTCAGACTTGACAAGCCTTCTGGCATTGAGTCCCCTGGGCACCTTAAGAGATAAGTGCTGCAGCTCTGATCCCTGTTTCACCAGTGAGGACACCGGGGCACAGAGAAGTGGCTGTTACTTGCACAAAGTCCCCAGCTAGCAGGGGTACCGCCAGGATTCAAAACTGGGCAATTGAGCACTTTCTAGACCAGTGTTTCCCAAACTTTTGACATATGTGTACCCCTTCTATGATTTTCGTAACGCTGAGTACCCCTCGTACTCATGAGAATGTAGAATTAGGTGCAGCTAAGCACGGTGCAGTGCATATCCCCACCAAACTCCGATGCAACGCGTACCCCCACCAAACTCTTCCCGTACCCCTGGGGGACACATACCGCACTTTGGGAAACACTGTAAGACCTTCATGCCTCTCCGGCTAGTGATCAGCTTTGGAAGCTGCAGAACTCAGAAGCCCAGGGAAAAATAGGCGTAAGACGCGTGCACCTAGCTGTCTGTGGGGCAAGAAGTCACTGCTGGGAGTCCATCGGATGGAGTTGCAGGACCTTTTCCATTGTTTTTCAACCCTCCGCCACATACTTCCAGGCGCCGTTCTCAGGCCACATCCGTACAGCTCTCCCTGACTTCCAAGAGCCTGCCATTCACCACCGTGTAGAATTCATTTATTCACTCACTCATTCAGAGCGCTGCCTGCCTGCAAAAAGCAGGCCACAGTGGGTACTGGAGGTAGCAGGGATCACAGTCTTATCCACAGGCAAGGAATCAGGAAAGCCAGCTTGGGATGGCGAGCCCTAGGACACTCAAAATCAGACTAGGAGAGCCCCCTTTCCTCAAAGGGAGCTACTCCTGCTGATACATGACAGATGTACAGGGGCACCAGAGAAGACAGGGTGTCCTAGACAAAGAGGAAGCACGTGGGAAACCTGGAGGACAGGTACAAGTTTTGCAAATCTCCACTCAGTATCTGGCTCCGGAACAGCTGTATGCTGCAGGCGGCAGGCACTTTCCGGCTCTGGGTCCCTAGCACGTACCAAGTGCCAGCCAGGCTCCCGACCCTAAAAGTCACCGAGTAGGTGTACACCTGCCTGACAGAGGCCCGTGCTTCCGGGCCAGCCTTGATGACGCAGCGGGCTCCCTCTCACCAGCTCCCTCCATTTTCTGCCTTTTTCAGCCTCTGTCAAACGCTGCCACCCAGAAAGTCTGATGTTCGTCACTTACACTGAAGTTCTGTTAAAGCACACTCCACAAACACGAACTCACAGACAGCCCTGCCTCTGAAGCGTTTTCCCTATACATGGACTGCATGTTGGTGCCCCCCTGAAACTCCTGTGTTGAAGTCCTAACCCCCCAGGATGTGCTGGTTTTGGAGGTGGGGCCTTTGGAAGACAATGAGGTGTAGATGAGATTATGGGGGTGGAGCTTCCATGATAGGATTTAGTGTCCTTATATAAAAAAAGAGGAAGATGCTAGCGTTTGCCCCTCCATCATGTGATACATTAAGAACGTGGCTGTCTGCAAACTAGAAAGAGAGCCCTCACCAAGAACTGAGTCTGTGGGTACATTAACCTTGGACTTCCCAGCCTCCAGAACTGTGAGAAATAGATGTCTGTTGTTTAAGCACCCGCTTCTTTGGTATTTTGTTATAACAGCCTGAGCTGACTATGACTGATTTAAAAGCTTGTCCACTCAGAAAGCTGGCAGGCCTCCTGCAGCAGGCCAAGCTGAGTGCCTTTCTAGGATCCTTGTTCATTTCCTTTCTCACTCTCAGCATGGTAAGTTAGCCACCAGAGCTGTGAGTATCTGGTGCTCCCTCTCATTTAGAAGCAGGTGATCAGAGACGAAAGCAGGGAAGTTTAGTGAATGGCCTGGGTCCTTGTCAGCTTGCTTCTTGTGTTCCAATCCCAGCTTCTGAAAAGCAGCCTGCTACCCCAACATCCACACATACTCATCCACATGCGTGAATACTCATATGAGTGTCCTTTAGCATCCCCACTTTACCAGCGGGAGCTGGCCTCACTGAGTGGCTCCCAGCCCAGTGCCCAAGACAGCAGAGGAACAGAGAGGGGGCTCAGTCTGGGTCTGGGGAGAAAGGGAACAGGCTGGGAGCAGTCAGTTCTGAATGGAGAGAGGCTGAGTCTTGAAGGATGACTGAGTGTATTCAGCAGGACTGGGTAGAGAAGCTCATGCTAGGCATACTGCAAGTGCTCAAAAAGGAAAGAGAAAAAAAAAAAGGTGCACTATTTATCTTGCGGCCTGGCTGAGCCTGGACATACTAAACAAAATAAGGGGAAGCAGGTGATGCCTTAGCAGGCGTTACCTGGGATTTCACTGGTACCCCACGGACACTGCACTTCCTGTAGTCCAGTGCTCTCAGGCCCTGGACTGCCCATTTATGGCTTTTTCCCGGAAAATGGGCTTGGGCCAGGGAATTATTTACTTATCCAGCCAAAATGGGAGTAGGAGAGAGGCAGGATTGGCAGGTTCAAAGTTGGAGAATGATTTTCTCCCATAACTGGTTTGCTGGGCTGGGAAGGCACCCGTCAGCCCTGTGGGCAAAAGGGAATCCACACACTGGACTGTAGAGAGCGCACAGGACATTCCTTGCTAAGGTGGGGTCCCGGAAGCACATTGGTCTTCCCCCAGCTGGGGTGTATCCCAGGGGCGGGGGTAGCTCAGCTGCTCTGTGGCTTCCTGAGGAACCTCAGCCGGCAGAAGGGGAAGGGCCTGGGGACTGTTCCCTGTGCTGGTGGTAAGCCCTGTATATGACACCTCCCTTCCCCTAGCGCTGTGGTCGGCAAATCGCCGCTCACGAGCCACATGCGGCTCTTTTGCCCCTTGAGTGTGGCTCTTCCCCAAATTACCACATGGGGGCCTGCATGGACACTGCGATTATAACTTGGTGGCCCATGCACAGAAGTTGGTTTTCGGCTCTCAAAAGAAATTCCAATCGTTGTACTGTTGATATTTGGCTCCGTTGACTAATGAGTTTGCCAACCACTGCCCTAGCACACAGGACAAGGAGGTTGGGCTGGCTCAGTGCTTCTCAGCCAAGGCTGCATGTTAGATCCACCTGGGAGGGAGGGAGGTAACACCTACAGATGCCCATGTTCTACCAAGAGAGTTAAATCGCTGTCTCTGAGGGTAGGACCCAGCACTCCTTTGTTTCGCATTTAAGTTCCTCAGGTGTTTCTAACGTGTGGCCTCAGGCAGAGAGCTCCCAGACTGGGCCATTTCTGCCCTCTTTTAGGCTCATCGTATGGAAATAGCTTGTTTCTCCCCCTTCTGTTCTCAGACCGCCACCGCTGTGTGTAGTAGCCTCACCTGTGTCTTATTTGTGGTTTTACCCAGACAAACCCATAGATCAGGGGCGGGGAACCCTTTTTCTATTGTACCAAGGGCCATTTGGAGATTTATAACATCATACGAGGGCCATGCAAAATTTCTACTTAAAAATTAGCTCAAATATTTCATTAACTCACCTCTAATGGCCAAACCAAATGATTTTGTGGGCCTTGTACTTACTGCCTGTGGGCCAGACGTTTTCTACCCGTGCTATAGTTACTTCCCCACCAGGATCAGGACAGGAGACAAGATTGCTTTGCGATGGAAGTTTTGTTTGGTTCGATAAATAGTTCCTGAGCATCTGCTGTGTGAGACACACCAAGCCAGGAGCCAGCGATACTCAGCATGGTCCCTGCAGTGGGGGTCACATGGCATAGAGCAGTGTTTCCCAAACTTTTCTCATGATGAGAATCACCTGGTGGAGTTGTTAAAATACAGATTCCTGAATCCCAACTAAGAAGTGCTAAACTACAATAGAATTTTTGGGAACATATAGGTAAAATTGTATACTTAATTAGTGCTGTATACAATTTTACCTATATGTTCCCAAAAATTCTAGTTTAGCACTTCTTAGTTGGGATTCAGGAATCTGTATTTTAACAATTCCACCAGGTGATTCTCATCATGAGAGAAGTTTGGGAAACACTGGCATGGAGGGAGGTCAGATGCCCTGGGAGCACTGCGGAAGGCAGTAAGCTCAGTTTGGAGTTGGGAAGAAGCTTCTTGAAGAAGTCTTGCAGGCAAAGTAAAGGGTGGCCAGGTGAGCAGGGATAGAGAGAGTTCTTTCATTCCCTGCAGGAAATAATGAGCACATAGTGTGGCCATCTTCCCTCCCTTTGGGCCAGTAGCAGGGTGACAATTCTCTAGTAATACCAGGTTTTTCAACTTATGCCAATTTCTTCCTATCCAATCTAATAAGTCATCTAACAGTTAAAGGAATGTGGCTTGGGAAGGTCTTGGA